GGCGGTAACAGTAGCAGTAGTAGCAGCGGCAGGAGCAAGGTAACTTCGGCCAGTGTTCTTTGAGCCTTGGCTGAAAGTAATACTACTCGTACTAGTACTACTCGTAGTGCTAGTGAAACTAGTAGTCGTACTAGTAGTACTCGCAATACTAGTAGTACTAGTAGTACTGGTAGTACTAATCCTAGTACTACTAGTACTAAGACTAAATAACCGCGGTCGCTCATATGATGAACTGTTTAGGAACTTCAGGCGTGTACGCTGTACTAGAATTCTCACATGGAACGTATCATAAGCAAATATGTATGCCGCACACTCTCTACATGGACACTCGCAACTAAATCTGCCGGCACGTAACATCAATCTTGTTTTGATGCACAGATACGAGGCATCCTCACTTTGATACAAGACTCAAGACACGTCGCGGGGTCGATGCCTCCGGCGACGTGGCTGAATCCACCGGACTGAAGACACGTCGCGGGGTCGATGCCTCCGGCGACGTGGCCGAATCGACCGATCACATATCACCTCTCGCCACGAATTTCAAGCTATCCTCGGAATTCCAATGTTCCGGCCACCAATCTTGCGTCCAGTCATGCCGTTTATCCCACCGATGTCGTTCCATGTGGGTTACAAAAACGCGATGGCGATGCTCCAAGGCCAAGCGCAGCATCTCCACGAACGCCACACTCCGGTGCTTGCCCCAACTACAGTTGACTGCAACCCAGACCGGTTTGGGCTGTCTGAATCCTTCAATGTGATCCAAAACTCCTCGCATGATCCGTGTCGCCTCCATGCTGCCCTCGACCGCCATCCGGGTTTCAGGATCCAATCCCGAAGGTCGCTTCGGCGGCCGATTGCCAAGGCGCTCGGAAGCTCGACGGTCGTAGCCGGGCGTGCGCAAATTTCGCAAATCGACATAAATGTCAGCACCAGGCACCGTCTGGTAGTTCATCCCGGAAGACACGATCTGTACTTCTTTTTGCATATCCTTACGCTAATCGACATGTGCAAATTGCGTACATGAAAAGTATATGAAATAGGTATAAGATTCATAGCCGCACATCACTCAGAAGAATAAGCACGACAAAGAAAAAGATAACCGAACAGGCGGCATCCTCTGCGTCAGGGCTCTCCACCTGCTTCCACTGAGCGGACTCATCAAAAAAAAAATTGACATATTTAGTCGGTAAAGCAACGCGAACTAGCAAGTGCACAAAAAAAAGGCACAGTTAACAGACTTAAATCCCGCCTCTTCTTCTTCGTCCCAGTGCCACTCTTCCTCCGGGCTCGCGGGGTCGATGCCTCCAGCAAGCTGGGAGTCATCTTCCTCCAGGCTCGCGGGGTCGATGCCTCCAGCAAGCTGGAAGTCATCTCCCAACACGGCGATGTGTACGCCATCCCAAGCTCCCCACGCGCGGCGCCTGGCCTGCTCGCCAGTGCAGATTTGGTCGTTGACCACCCCATCAACCGCAGGCTTGTCATCAGGACGAACTTCCAGAAAGGGATCCCAAGCTTCCATAAATTCCTCTCCTTTCTCTGGTGGGGCATTGACCACAATCCANNCCCGTCACTGACACGCCTTCTGGCTTGCTGACCTACTGAGTACCGCCCTTCGTTCGCTTGCCGTCAGGTTGTCGAAATCTACCATGAGCTCAAAGATGGCTCGACAGTACGACCCATCTGCAAACATAGCCTCAGTCGCGAATCAAGAGATTATGATATTGATATCAAAATGTGCAGCAATATCTACATGACACCAACATAAATTATCGCCGACATAAAACAAGGAACTTGAGGACGAGCGTAACTGAACGCGGTTGCAAGCACAGGACTGCAGTAGATGCCCGCAGCCCAAAATTCGTGTCCCTTGGATGTGTCATCGGACGCCAGTAACTGCCCAGCCGCCAGAACCGACCAGACCCCGTACATCCAAGTGCCATGGAAAGCCTGCCTCCACGTCGCCCCGGGCGTCACCTGCCGTACCGAGTCTGTCAAGCGAAAGAAACGAAATCGCTCCGGCGGCAAATTGGTGTCACGGGCAACCTCTTCCACGACCTGGCCAAGGTCACGACGTCGTAACCATTCCTGGCAGGCAGGCTCTACTCACTGGACACTGCATACGACAAGCCGTAAACGGAGTTAAGCTTCGACTTCAGCTGGCCTGGAACAAGCCGGGAAACTGATCATGGAAATCGCTGGAGACAGTATCTCTATAGCTTCGGCCCTTATTACGGGCAGCACCAACCTTGTGCCATTTACCAACCAGATCGCCGCGAGCCATCTGAGCGGTCAGACATGTCAGAATCCAAGCTAACCCTAATGTGATTTCATACCCAGGCTGAGTATCTACTTGCTATATCAATAACGGAGCAACAATCAAACGGAGGAAAAAAAGTACCGCTACTATAGAAATAATCAAAAGCATAGTCCAAACAACCCCCCTAACCAAAAAAATGGCCTCGGCTTCCTGCAACATAATCTGATGTTTCACAGGAGCGGCTCTGGGAGCATCAGGCGCCGCGTCGACAGCCCCGGATCCGCTTGCATGCGTCTTCCCAACCTTTGCCCTGCGGACATCGGGGTCGACGCCTCCTGATGCCGCATACGCAGGAGGCTTCCTGACCCTGGCCCTGCCAGGAGCAACGTCTGCCGATCCCGCGGAGCCGGCCATCGCTGCATGTCCGCCTCGCTGGGATCGGGGTCGGTGCCTCCTGATCCCGCAGACGCCAAGTTGGGATCGGGGTCGATGCCTCCTGATCCCGACTTTATGGAACTCTCCCAGCGGTCAGTTGTCGTCAGAAGATGTTTGGACCAGGCTGCGGGCGTCTCAGCCGCCGCCTCAGGTGCCATGGCCTGTTCCCAACGGATAATGACACCGTGCGAATAGACCGGCAGCCAACTCTTCGCCTTCGCCTGCTTCTCTGCAGGTGGAGGAAGAGGCACCCATCGCTCCATTTCCTCTTCTCCCTCATGGACACTTTGATGCTGAAGCCACTCATGGAGTCGACGCACACCCTCCTCCGCCATCCGCCGACGTGCTTCCTGCGAAGAGCCGCGAGGAGTTCTCATCGTGATGACACCACTCTTCGCCGTGTCCTCCTCGATGTGTTGCTCATGATTGCGGCGGCGACGCTGGTCCTCGCGATCGACACATGTATAGAGTATAAAGATGTGTCATGTATAAATATGTGAAAGGTATTCAGAAATTCATATACGTACAAGTCATAGTAAGCCATATCACATAATGACACAACATAGAGTCGACAAGTCTATTAGCAAAGTCCTAAGGGTAATGGGTGCATACGACTTACTGCATTGTGTTCATCGTCCTGAGCCCGGGAACGAAACGTCATGGCGCATCCGATGTTGCTTTCCAAGTCAGCTGCCCAGGATCGCCACAACAATCCCTCGAAGGTCTTAGGCAACCT